CGTTCCCCGGTGCTCACTGACGCTCGCAGGGTTTTACTCGAGCTTCCCGAGCCCGCCTTCTNCGCGCCCGCCGCGGAGGGCTGGGCCGCGGTGAGCAGGGTACTTGGCAGCCCGCGGCAAGGCAAGGGGACCGCCGGCCCTGCCCGCGCCGCCGTGCTCGGGCTCCGCTGCGGAGAGACGGTGGGAAGAGGGATGGGGTGGTATGGGGTGGTATGGGGTACGATAGGGGTTGCTGTGGGCTCTGGGCCGAGGGATGCGCGGACGCCACTCTGTGCGAAGGGGTCTGGCACTCTCAGTCAGCGCGGTGCCTGGGGGTGACTTGGGCTGCAGTGGGTCTTGGTGCTGTACGGGAGAACAGCACGGGCTGTAGCAGCTTCACATTTATCTCAAGCAAAGGCAGAGCCGCGTCTCGGCGCTCCGCGCTTTTGTACCCGTACCTCCTCTCCGTGTGCCCGTGAGGAGGTAGACCCTCCGTGTAGGTCCGTGAGGAGCAGCAGCCGGCTTAGGGAAACAACAGGCTTTCCTGCTTGCTTTGGACACGCGATCTTATTAGTCATCTCTGCGCAGATATCTGTGTTTTTAAGTGGGTAGATATATATGCATAAAAAGTTAAATAATGGCTTTGGGTTGATGTTCGTGTGAAATGCAACTAGTTTTCATTGTGACCTTTGCTAGTTTGAAACAAAATTGTTCTCGTAGAAACCGGATTGTTTACAAAGTTGCTACTTATTGGATTTTTTTTTTTGATTTTTTTTTCTGTGCTTCTCTACCAAGTAGTAGCGGAAACATTGCAATGTTTCTCAAGCAATTGTTATTGCTTGAGACTGAGGTGAAAAAGAGACAAAATATCTTTTAAACGCCTGCTTTTTTTAATTGTAAGCAGCAGTTATGCCTAAAGTTTGGGAAAAAACTAATTTCACAATTACACTATTCTTGAATATAAGCATAGCTCAAGTTTATGTTTTGTTTGCAGTCTTGTGTTCAGTTTTGACTTCTTTGCTTTCAACATAGTATTAAAATTTAATGACCCAAGACACTACATTTGCTCTCTTGGCATACAAATCTGCTTAATTTGAAGTATGTGAGATCAGTATTAAACAAACATGAAACAATTTTTCCTTTCATAAAAATAAGAATAAAAATTATATAAAAAGATGTATTTTCATTGGAAAAGCTTCTACCTTCTCCTAAGATTAAAGCAAATCAGAACTTGTTTATTCAACTATCACAACTGAAATTGAACTTTTCTATTAGACCTTGATATGTGCTGTGGTATGTTCATTTGCCTGTCTGATCAGTAGTGTTTTGTTTTGTTTGTAAGTCCATTAAATTGGTGAAGATAGTGGGCCATTCCCATGCATTCTATTTCCATGTCTGTGTCTTCACAAATGCTTCCAGCAAATATGAGGTAGTAGACATCTACCCCAAATTCCCATTCTCTTTCTGCTCTATAGAGTCTCCACCTATAGCTTTGTTACGAAAACCACTAGTGTGAGTTATCAATGAGTGCCAAGATGTGGATGATTCTTTCTATTAGTACAGGTTCTTCTCACAGGTCCAGAAATGACACAAGGTAGGACAAGAAGTTTGTTCATGTTTGTCTTGAGGTGATGACAAAGACATTAGACAGGATCTTGCAAAATTTGACCAAGAAATTTTTATAATACCATAGATAGGGTTTTATTTTGTATAGAAGTAAAATTAAAAGGAATAGGGAATACTCCTTCTTTACTGCTGTGGGTGAATATTTTTCAAGATTACTGTAATGATGGATTTGGAAAATCTGAAAGTGTTGTGTTTCTGTATATCCTCAGAACTAGTTTTAAATTATAGGTTTGTGCATTTTGAATCATTAGTCATTTCATTTGCACTAACATTTCAGAATAGGTTATTGTTCAGAATTGGTACTGCTTTGGAAGACTTGGGAAACAATCTATGTAGGTTCTGAATTGTGGTGAGAAAGTTAAGATGGGAATTAGAAGATAATGTGAAAATGCACTGAATGCATAATGACTGAAAATAATGAAGAGAATTTTGTAAGGAGAAAGGAAGGTGGTAGTATGTAGAACTTCAGAAGGATCATCCTGTATTTCTTCCTTGCCCTTTTAAGTAACCCCAGACAAAATACTTTTGGAAATATGGAATAGGATAGTTATGCTTTTTAAAGGACTGATTTGAAAATGTATCCAAAACATAATTAATATTTGATTACTTGACATAGATCCTGTCATAAACTTGCAGCTGAAATTGTGCATTGGTAATGAAAATCTGGATCTTAAGCTGTATGGTGCTCTCCCTGATTTACTTATTTTCTGTAAGTAATAGGAAAAGATATCAGAAACTTAAGGGACTTAAATGATTTCTCTAGAAAAGAGAGTGACGTGTATGAGTGTATCAATTTCTTACACACTCTTTAAGCTGCTGTCTTCCTAATCGGGCTCATGTAAAAAAAACAAATCTTATCTACTTTGTTGCAAGTCTTGAAAATTTTCCTGAGGCTTTCCTCTTGCACTGCTTTTGAAAGTCTTTAGATAATTGCACATTTTGGTTTTGTTGTTAGAAAATTGGATGAGCCTGCTATCTCTTCAGTGGTCTGTAAGAGGTCTATGAGAGATAAATAAGACTGTTTTCAGGATGTGTAAAGCTGAAGTACAGAGACCTCTACCGTCACTTTAAAATTTACTATCACCTTGAAAAATGTAAGGGTCTGCTAATGCAGTATGGCATTCTAAAACCATTTTCCAAGTCAGGAGGATTTTTTTGGTTGTCAAAAGTTATGAACTAGTAGTACAGGCTATAAGTGGCTTTGATTCTTATGACTGAGTTTTAGGCATTCAAGTCACATGTCCAAACATTCTCAACACGTAATTCGGATTGTCATAAACCATTGTATGCTTGCTGCTGTGTATGTGCTGCATCAAAACAATGTCATAATTTAAAGGTAACACTATCATAAACCATTTTCTTTAAAAAGAGCTACATTTTGATACTTTGAGTACGCTGCTACTAGTGTAGGAGTATAGAAAGTGTTCTTTATCATTGTTTTATTGTTTTCTTAACAGAAAACATTGCTTAAACATTGATGTTGCATTTAAACTGACCAGTGCAGCTGATTCTTATGACTTAGTTTAAAAGAACAACTACTTACAAAGTAGTAAAAATAAGCCCCTTCCAAACCAGTCAGTGGTTGTTTCTGAATTGTTTAAAATTAATTTGATTAAACTACTGGAAGTTTTATGAATAACTGGAACTGGTTTCTGTGCAACTCTGTGCTTGGTAACTCTGGAAGTTCTGGCATATAAAAACATACATTTAAGTTGGGTTTGACAATTTTTAATTTTTTTTAATTGATTGCTTTACTGGTAGCTTTTGAGAATGGCTGTGTTGAAAATTCCTTTTTGTTTTCAAATACTTGGGACATAAATCTTGGCGGTATCCCAGTTTAATAATTGTAGCTTTGTGAAGAAACTTGCTCTGTTAAGAGTAAGATGTATTGTCTTATGAACTTGTGGGTATATGAATGTCAGGGAGACTTGCCACGCTGACATCTGGAATTACATTCAGATGTTTATGCAGCACTGCTCTACTGCTGGACATACATCTAGATGCTCTTTCAGGAGAGCTGTTGTGCAATAATTGCTTAGTATCCTCTCTCTATGTGTGCATCTACCATGTGTTGGCAGACTTCCATCTGTTCATTAAAAATATCTTTAGTTACATATATATGGTGAGAAATATCTGTCCTTCCTCATATGCATAAAGCTTCTCTGGAGCTGATCTTTATTTAATATGATGAAATGGGAAGGTTGAAATTGTACTTGACAGATTGTTTTTTGTGTCCAGTCTTGTCAAAACTTTCAGAACTGAAGAAGATGGATTACCTGTGTAAGCATCAGGCGACTGCTTTTCTTTAATATTTCAATGCTGTCCATTTTCTACAGCTCTTTCAGACACAAGAAATCGAAACTTACTGAGAGATAACTTTCAAAAATGTAACACCATAATATTAATCACATGAGTGTTTTTATGTATTCAGGGCCCATTAAATTATTTTCTAAGTAAAAAGCGTGACAGACATTTATTTGAAACTGCAACAAGGATTACAGTTTAAAGAACATGACAACAGTATTTGTCAGAACATCTAAAATGAGTTTATGTATTCCTGAATTTAATGTCCGACCAGTCAGGCTCACCATAATATAGCCATTTTTATGTACTGGGTAAATAGAAAGAGCTGTAACAGTGTAACCTTTTTACACTAATAGATGTTAGTGTTGAACAATTTTAATCCAAAGGAGACTGCTTGCACTCAAACAATTTGATTGGAAATATAGAAAATAAATGCTGCTGCAGGTTGCCCAGCAATTTATGGCTATTTTTCTAAATGCAGATTTTAAATTCAGAATTATTTTTCTTGCAACAAACTTATTTATAAAACTTGAAGTATTTTAAGTAGTTCAGTACCACAGAGTTCCTGTAATCTGTTTCTTGTTAGGCACAAGTCATGGAAATACTGATTTCTGACTTCACACTTGCTGACAGGGCTACTTTCATTTCCATGAGGAAATCCTTGCGACTAGTTCTTGATAAAGGGAAATGGAATGACTCGTTGCTCTTGCTTTCCATGACTTAATTTGTTTTGTGTACAGAGTTGGTCAGTAAGGCTTCATTGCAGGCTTAATTAAGTGTTTACTTGTCTTGCTTTCTCTAATGGCTTGCTATCAGGGGACATCTGTGTTCTAGATACAGAAGAGCTTTCTTACTCAGGTAGTATGGAAAAGGAAATCTCAGAATGAACAGCATCTTCTGTAGAGAGTTTTGTTAGCTCTGAGTAAAAAAGAGAAAACTGCCAATGGACTTCAGAGTAATTAAATAGTGCCTGTATGGGAGAGGACTACTTACATTTTGCCTTCTCATACACAATTTTACGTTTGTTTTCTATTGAGTAGTGAGAGGATCACCCTCAACAGATGGTGGTTTACCTACAAAATGATATTCAGAATGGTCTTTCAAACTGATCTGGAAGTCTATTACCTAGAGCCATACATGACAACAGAAGATTGTCTTTCTCCGCTATGCAACTTGTAGAAGAAGAATCTGCATCTGGCTTCACTGTCTGTTCTACCAGTGGATGGTAACTGCTTATGAATGGGAGTGGAAGGTTTCATCAGTTCTCTCTACTAGATGCTGCATTAATTTATTTTTAAGTAGGTCAGTACTGGTCTTCCAGTGATCACAACTATTACTGTTGTCTCTAGGAAGGAACCAGTAAAAACACCCAATGAAGAAAAAGTGTATAAGACACACAATTTCCATGTACATAGTTCTATATAGTATGTGTGGGAAGGAGAAATGTTGAGAAAAAATGACACAAACAGTGTGGATGGCATATGTGCGTGTAAGAGGATAAACACTTGTTGACTTTAGTAAATTGAATAGCTTTTCCTCCTTGCTACCACATACGTCTGTCTCATTATGCTAAATACACAGCCTTAACTCTGATTGCTGCTTTTCATAAATGTAACTACTGAATGAAGAAGTTGTGGAAGGGCTGTATAGCTTTTTCTAAAGCAGAAAAATAACTTCTCTCTGAACTGAGACCCCATACTTAATTTGGTTTAGGTACACATATGTCTCCAAACATGAGCAGAATGTCATCAGGTTAGTCATCAGAACTGTTGGTCATGTGAAGGGTTTTGAAGTCTGGATGTTCGTGCTTCTAGATAGAGCTTGATATAGGTAATATAGGTTATTCTTCACATTAGATTTACAAGTGAAGACATGTCTTTTAGTTGTGCCAGATTTAAGCCACATAGGCCCTCAAATCTGTAAGCCTGCTTTTGACTTGCTGCTTTATTTAAACTTTAATGTATTTTGCCTGTAGATTCTTAACCTCTGATACCTATTGATAGTGTTTAAGAGATGAGGCTTTCAGGGGTCTCCATTGAGGAAAGTACCTGTTCTGTTTCTCTGTCATGCTTTCTACTATTCATTGTGAAGTCAGGAAAAATAACAGGACTGATTAGAAAGCCTAATTTAAGTGGAAAATTAATTTACTTTGCAGTAACCTTCAGTTATAGTTAGAGAACAAGATAATGATGGCAGCTGGTTGTTCAGGCTCATTCAATTCTCTAAAGATTTGCCTGGTTACATTTCTGACAGTTTATCAGGAAGGCTGCAGCCTGAGGCTGGGTCATGAGAGTGCTCCCCTTCCTGCATTTCTAAACTGGCAGGAAATTTATGAAACTCTAGTGTAGAAAAGGCCCCTTTAAAAGCTTCAATTATGTTTAGAAGCAGCCTATGTTCAGCTCATTTTGATAACATGTTGTTTTAGCTGGAAGAAACACCTTAAAGAATATTTCGCAAAGGAGAATTTTATTAGGTTTTCAGGAAGAAATGCCTAACACTTATTTGTAAGTGTTTGTAAGTTTGAGTACAGTAACAACTTTGGAGAAGTTAAATAAGAATTATATTCTGTATTCTAGTTGAAAATGCCAGTGAGGTCTTAATTTTAATGCAGTGACATTAGGGTTTATATTAAGTAGCTACATAAAGTTAGTAAGTTAGTGCACCAGTATTCAAAGTTATTGTGGGCTTTAAACTACAATGAAAAATGTTTAGATATGTGTGAAAGTGGAAAGAAAATATTTAGACTGGTACTCGAGTAGGACACCATTTAAATAAAGTTGCATTTTCTACTAATTGGTTCTACTAAGTTCTTATCTTTCTTTTACTTTTCAAGTTTGTAAAAGCCTTGCTCTGTGGAGAGTCGTTTTAGAGCTTGGTGTATTTTCATGTGTTTTGTTTAGTTTTGATTGTACTTTTAATAGATTGTAATGGCACTTGTACCAAACTAATCCAAATTTTGGTGCACTTTTTCAGGTTATAGCTCACTGCAACCATGGAAACTATGATTTTATAGGTGTTTTTTTCCTTTCACTTTGTTTTTCCCAAAGCTGGAAGAAGTAAAGCAAATAATCCTGGCTAGTAATCTGTATCAAATTGCCTTCAGTTATTTATTATTTGTAAATGTGTGTGTCTCTGTGTGGTGTCCTTTAAGGCAACTTGAAACTTAGTGGAAGTGGGCTTAACACAGCTGCTGTGAAGTTTTTCCATCCACCCATGACTGCTTCGCCTTATTTAAGATGGCAGATCCCTACATGCCTTCTCCTCCTAGCCCCACCCTCTTCTGCTGAGCGATGTAGCTTGTTTGTGTCCTTGCAGTGATCCAGATCAGTGATTCTTGTTTTTGTTTGCCAGCTTTATTTTTCAGCTGTATAATTTCCCTGATAAGGTTTGCTTTATGGCTACATAAACAAATTTTTGCAGAACTGAGCAGGCAGAAAGGAAGGCTATAAGACCAAATTCTCAGGCTTTTCTCACTCACAGTATAGAGCTGTCTTTGTTAAAAGTCTGGGATTTTAAGAAGGATGTGAAACTATTTCAGTGCATCCAGAAGAGAACAAGGCTGTTGAGACTGCTGGAAGACATGTCCTCTGTGGAGCCACTAAGGACTTTGAGCTTGTCTGGTTTGGAGAAAAGGAGACTGAGGGGTGACCTCACTGCTCTCTACAGCTTCCTGAGCAGGGAAAATTGTGAGGGCAATTTACCTCCCTGGGAGCTAAGGATAGGACATGCAAGAATGGTTGAAAACTGTGCTAGGGAAGGTTCAGATGGGACACTAGGAAGGATTTATTTACCCTGGGAAGGTGGTCAGACACTGGAATGGGCTGGCTTCCTAGAGATGGTAATCAATGCCCTGACCCTGTCAGTATTTAAGAGACATATGGACAATGCCATTAACACCATAATTTAATTTTTGGTCATCCCCAGAGTGCTCAATCAATTGGGCTAAATGATTGCTGTATATTCCTTCAGGCTGAAATACTTCTATTCTATTCTATTCTATTCTATTCTATTCTATTCTATTCTATTCTGTTCTGTTCTGTGCTGTTCTGTGCTGTGCTGTGCTGTGCTATGCTGTGCTATGCTGTGCTACGCTGTGCTATGCTGTGCTACGCTGTGCTATGCTATGCTATGCTATCACATCCTGTTCTTCTTTCCCTGCCACTGAACATGTCTGCAGTTTTCCTGAGAGCACACTTTACACCTTATGTAGAAGCAACATTATGGATCTGAAGCTTTTTTGAGGGAGGAGGGGAACGGATAGTCTGACAGGAAAACTTTTATAGTAGCTGTGCTATTATGCTATGCTTTGTCTTCTTTACATTTCTGTTTTTGCTTTTTGCTGTCAGGAGGAAGTTCATCATAGTGCCAGAGGTCATAAACTGGCTGAGTTTGTTAGTCAGTCCTTGCAGTGTCTCAGTTTTAATAGTGAGGTGTGCCTTACTCACTGGAAAACATCTTAAAACTAAACTTAAAGATAGACAAAGAGAAGCTACTAGTGAGAAGGATAAGATTAGAGGTTGTTTTTTTTTTTAACCAGCTTTACAAAATACAGGGGAAGGAAAATGAAGTGTGAAGGACTGGGAAGTAGAATATCAAGTAATCCTAACTGAATTTTAGTTCATGTAAAATTATGAAAGATATGAGAGGATAAAAAGAGAGTACAGTATTTAGTATGTGTTTAATATGATGGGAAGTGAAAAAATGTAAGTCCCCAAGAAATCTGCAACAGCCTAGAAATGTATAATAGGTAGTGGTAACAGCTGAGGTGATTTTAGTTTAGTTTACACATATGGGATTCATGGGAACTAACAGCAATTGCTAAAAAACAGAGCGTTAGAAATAATTAACTTCCTGATGAAGTGATTAAAATGAAAAGCAGTTATTAAAATGCATAGGTTCAGCATGTTGTGTTTCATAGTTCTACTTTCCTTTTATCATTAGGGAGAAAGGAACAATGGCTTTGATGTCCTCTATCACAATATGAAACATGGACATTTGTCAACTAAGGACTTAGCAGATTTTATTAGAGAAAGGTAAGTATTCGTCCTATATTTTTAATATTATGTATGGGTTTTGTTGTTTGTCATTGCATTCAACAGTAACGTGCAAAATATGTAAGCAAAATTAAATTACCAAAACTCAATTATCATTTTAATATACCTCTCATATTCTACAGGAGTTTCTATAGTTATTCCATTTGCTTAGAACTGAATAGGAACTCTTAAACATCAATTAATAACAAGCTTCTAATTTCTCAGGTTTCAATTAAAGGATGAAAGTAAAAATCTAGAAGTGCCGTATTAGATGTCCAGCAGTTTATTTAAATTAATACAAATTTTTCATTTTGGTTGGAAGAAATATTATAATTTAAAGTTGCAAAAATTATCAGTCTTGCAAAGTTCTTACTATAGATTTGGAATTAGGCTATTAGCAATTGCTAGTATAAATTTTAAAAAAAATATACTTTCAGAAGCTGAGATACTAGGTTTGTTAAAGAGAGTGATACATAGGGACAAGAAAATAATATGCAGAAAATAACACAGGTTCTTCTATACTGGATTCTATATTGGATGGAAGGAACAGAACTGAAATCTGAAAATATGACAACTTCCAAAACAGGTGACTAAGTGCTGCATTTAGTTCTTTGTGAAAGAACACTGCTGCTGCTACATTGAACGTATGTGTTTCCCTTCTGAGCAAAGTTACCTGCATGCCTACTTCAGAATTTTGTCTTTCCTCAGTTACTGACACTAGATGACACAGTTCCAAGGTGTTAATTGAGGACCTGTTTCAATGCTGGCTTCTTGTAGTAGGAGCTGTCAGAAAAACTGGAATTATTCTTCAAAATATTAGTTTTGGCCTCCAGTAGATCTCAGTTTAAAAAGTACTTTCAAATTTCCAAAAAATCTAACCACCACAGATCTGACAGATACTCCATTGCACTAACATTAGTGTCATTTCAAAATGAATTGGAGAAAATAAAAAAAAGGTTTCACTAAGTAGAAATGGGTGTGTTCCAGAGTCCAAATGTGATGTTTTCTTTTGGAAAAACTGCACAACCCAAGGAACCTTCTGTTTTACAAGTCCTCAGTTTTGGAGAATGCATTATGAAGCTAGGTCTAGTGAACTCCTGAGATGGGTTGAGCAGAGGGATGTCACACTGTTCACATTTAGTATAAATGCTTAATGCTTCACAAACTTGCACTTTTAGTATTTCACTAATAATTAAATTTAATTTAATAGTTTATTAATATTTGAATTTATTTAATAATAATTTTAAAATATTTTGCACTTCAATATTTTCCTTTTGTTATCTGTGTGAGTTCTTGAATCCTTCCTTTGAAAGCTTCTTTAGTTTTTGAAATCATTCCATTTATACCAGCATACCAGCACATCATGGACCTAAGCTGTACCTTACCTGGTTACATTGAAATTTATTGGTTTTACATCCTTTGTGTTTAGATTTACTTTTATATTTAGACGAGAAACAGTGTCACTCTCTCTGCTTTTTGTCTCCTTTATGTTGTAGTCTTTGGGCATGCTCCATTTTATTCATATTTGTCATAACATGAAAGGTCTTAAGTAAATGGGTAAAAAACAACTTGCTGCTGTATCTGACTTGGTTTCTTTGCTTTATTATAAAAGTTAAACTTTACAGTAGATATAAAGTATAAATATAAAAATAAAAATATAAAGTAAAACTTTACAGTTCTTTCTACACTAAATCCCAAGTAAAAAGAATATGGCATTCTGGGTTTTTTTCTATTTATAAGCTTCTGCAAATTGAATTTTTAATTTAAATAATTATTTTTAAATAACTTTTAAATTATGTGCCTTTGCAGTCAATAAAGAAAATCTTTGGACCTTTTTCTAAAGTTTCTTTGGAACCTTATCCTCCATGAGAGTTCAAGAAGTGTTTTTTCCTATGTGTGGTCAGGATGTGCCAAAGAGATATGCAGCAATCTTACAGCATTTTTTATAAGATCTATAAAAAAAATTCCGTTCTCATTAAATTCTCACTAAGATAGAATCTGAGTGATATATTGCAATTTGCTTGACAAAGCTGCAGTATTGTTCCTTAAGGGGAAGTTGCCCGTGTGAATGATGCAGATCAGCTGCACTAAATTCAGTCCTTTCCAGTGACTTTCTTCCATCAGGATATGAAAGTTCCCTTGTGTATTCTTCAGCCCTGTTTTTCAGCTGCATCTCAATAAGCCAGGCTGCAATTAGTATAGAGAGACTTCAAGTATATGGTGTCCTTACTTTAATTAAAATTTGAGTCCATATGCATGCAGTGAAGCCCTTTGCTGATGTTGTGAAGTTACTGTGTGATGTCATTCAGCTTCCTGTGAAACAAAAATGGTTCAGGAGAACACATTTTTTCACATGGGCGAAATTCTTGGTCTTTAAAGAAGTTGGATTGGGCTGTACTTGAGCAGTATTTTGCAATGGTTGTTGTCTTGTCTGTGATCTATTTTTCACATTTGTTAAGTGCAAAGTTAATAGATGTTGCACACAGTTATCTGTTCTCATTCTGCAGATTATAGTCTGAATATTGTTTTATAGTACTGTTTTCTGGTGGAAATATGTTAAGTGGATGAGCAACACGTATTAGGAGCTATCTAGATCTAGTGTTTTGATGCCTTGAGTCTTGTGTACATGATTTTCTGAACTCTTCCCTATGAAAACTGATTTTACATAAATTTGAATTTCAAATCTGTTCTTTCATTGCTTTTTACATATTGGCCTTTTTCTGTCTTTTTTTTTTTTTTTTTTAGAAGTGGATTCATAAGAGTGAAAACTGAAAACCTTTACCCTTTCTAGGTAGAGCAGTCATCTGGTCAGCTGGGCTTGCTAGAGTCTCCAGTCTAGCCAGAAAATATACTTTTTGTGAAGTGATTTTGCATGGAAAGAATAGATGGGTCAGTGCATTTGGATTAACAGACTGCTTAGGGCACAAAGGACACATGTCTGTGTGAAGCCCATCTCTGTTACTTGTGCTTCTCAGAGCAGTGTTTTAGTTGTGAGTAGCCTAATTGAGGAAAAGTATTGTTTCCTTTTCTCCAGTCCTAGAAATGGCAATGAAAAAATGTGTAAGATATGGAATAAATTTTCAAATTATTGTTCTCTTAAGCATTTATATTTTAAAAATATTTCAAAATTTCTGTAAGAACATTCTGAGATTGTAAAGTCTTTTTCTCCAAGAAAAACAAACATTTGAAATGTATTCATTTGTAATAGTATTTCTATGCTGTATCTGCTGTTCCTACTTGATATCCTGGAAGGAGCAGAAGTTTTCCTCCTTGTCTGTGTTCAGTGAGTCAATACCAATACAATTTTCACTTTTTCAGTTTTGTTCTTGAGTATTTGTTATTGATCACATACTAAAAGAACTGAGAGCCAGTTGGATCTGTGGTTGAGAAATTTGTCATCTGAAGGAGTGAGTTTTCTGGTGGGCAGTCTGCTTAATGTTGGTAAATCTTGAGTGTAACAGGTTATCTGTCTGCTGAAAGATTAGACACCAGTTCTTAAAATCATCAAATCATAGGATGGTTTGGGTTAGAAGGGATCATAAAGATCGGCGAGTTCCAACTGCCCGTGCTGTGGTCAGAGACATTGTTCATGAGACCAGATTGCTCAATGCCCCATCCAACCTAGCCTTGAATAAATGTCATGCTTCATTGATAAAGCATGTAGAAAGTTTTGGTTTTTAAAGAAGTGGAAATAGGAAGATTGAGCTGCCTGCATAGTTGTTTTTTCTTTATATATGGGGAAGATTTTGTAGGTAAACTGTCATCTGTTTGTGTGCATTTAAAATTGAAACTTTTTATATGTAAGAAATCATTTTGCTTTTCTAGGAAAGAAATAGATACAGGAATGTGTTGGTTTTTAATCCAAGAGTCTTTCTAATGTTTTTCTGCACCCATTGCCTGTAAGCATCATAGAAAGAATCTTCTAGATCACATGAAACTAGCAATATATGCTTCCATTTAACTTTTAAATGTTTAGCGTATCCTAGGCAAAGACATGTGTTCAAAAGGGTGAAAATTAATTTACTAAGAGAATCATAGTCTGTTACCTGTACAAGAGAGTGCTCTGCAAAGTTAGGTGATAGGACAAATGTACTAACTGGTCATCTTTTGGTTCTTGGTGTTTTTAACTGATGTATGTTAGTACTCTGCAGTGAATTGCAGAACTCCAGTTTAGTGAAGATAGTTCACGGAAGTATGCTGTGAATTGGTTCAAAGAAAAGAGATGTGGATTTTGGTCAAAATTCTTGTATTTAAAGAGGCAAAATAAGGCACTAAGTTGTAAAATCTAGAAAACTTTGATAGACGATATGGATGATTAGTCAAAATATATTGTTAATCATGGTAATTAAAAAAAAAATTTTCTATGCTTGGGGTATGTGTCCTTGCTGTTGTGCAGTGTGCAAGATTTCCAAGGCTTGGGAAGTTGAACTTTTTCTTATCATCAAAGATATGATCATATGTGGAAGGAGAACAAAGATAATTGACTTTCTTTTATGGTGAATAACTTTGCAGTAGGTGATATTCAAAATTAAATTAATTTGTTGCATGTTCCATTTCAATCTCCTCCATGTAGGTTTCCAGCTAACTAACTGTAAAGTTGTTTTGGAAGTTTAGTAGGTTTTAATATATGTTCCTCTGTTTCAGGTGAATACCCCTACTTTGTTTTCATATTTTTACAAGACAATTCTTTTTGTAAACTGTTTCACTACAGGAAAAATAAAAACTTCTGTCTCTGGTTATAGTCATGGTGTAATTTGCAAGGGGGATGAATTCTTCATCTTCCTTTTTTTCTTCTCTTGTGTCCTATGTGAAGGTATTACACAGCAGGAAAGAAATTGCTCCAAGCTTTTCAAGAAAAGCCAATTACAATATTTACTCAAATCTAGCATGCTTCTACATCTGAGTTGACACTATACAATAAACATTTGTTTAGGGTGAAAAATTAAAATACTCTTTATCTTTAATAATAGGAGTGTGAGGAAGATTAATATGGAAAGACTTGCTGGGAGTCACTGCTGTAATAGGTGATTCCATGGCAATTGCCCCTGCAGAGACTCTGAGGAGAAAATCTGTGCCAACCCTTGGCTTTTGCATCTTTAAAAGACAAGTGAAATTGTGTGTTCAAGTGGAGGAAAATATAAGAACACTTTGTGTAGTTTCCAAACTCAAATATCACTGTGTGAAGAACTTAAAGGAAAAACAGCCTACTCCTAACAAGAAGACTAAACAAGACCTCATTTTGTTTAATGTGATTGCTCAGAAAATATTGTTTGTTTATTGTAAAGTTTTCATTACAAATAGATTTTATTTTGTTGCTGTGTAATACTCTCCTGCTTAGACAGTGCTGGATGGATGATTGTTATGATGCTTTGTTCTGTCTGTTACTAAGGAATATTAATGGCAGTTGAGAACAGCAAATAGAGAGGAAGGAATTGTCTTTTTCAACTTTCACTTCCTGGGTTTTATTTGTTTTGCTCCTGCAAACCCCTTTGTCACAGGATTCTTAGATTATTTTTTTAAATGTACAATGTGATTTTCTTGTTTAGTTTTTGAGAGATCATTTAAATGGAGTAATTTTTAGCTCATGTAAAAAGCCTTCTGTTTTGTACCTTTTGAATGACTGTTCAGTCTTCATACCTTCAAATTTTTGATTATGCTTTTGATGGTCTTCTTTGGCAGGGCTACAATAGAGGAGACATATTCAAGGTCAATGACAAAACTAGCCAAATCAGCAAGCAATTACACACAACTTGGGTAAGTAAGTGTACATAAGAGAGAATAAGTGAATGTAAGTACCTGGTAAGAATCAAGTTGGATTCTGAATATTTTATTGATGATGTTGAAGGTTGGTATAACTTTGCCACCTTTAAAAATGATAGGTCTTTAGTAACTATGCAAAAATTTGTGCAGCTATGACAAAGAGAAAGCGCAGTTCTTTGAAACTTAATAAAAAGACCAAAGCTCAAACATGGATAAACTGTCTTTTCCTCTGTGTTTAAAGCTGAGTTATTTTCAGACATAGTGACTTCTATTACATCCTCTTAAGCTATGGAAATTATTTTGAAAAGAGAACATATGGCCTGAAAATGTGGCAGGGAATTTATTTATTTACATTATTTCTGGTTTTTGGAGTGCTGTCTGTTCTCCAAGATGTTCAGGATAACACTTTTCCATAGATTTATTCCATAGTTAAATGGAAGTTTTATACATAGGGTATGTTTTTAAAAACTGGAATGATTAATGGATGCTTTTGCATTAGGAAGATTAGGCCAATGAAAACTTAGACTTCTGAGAAAAATTAGTGGTTTTTTGTTAATTTATTGTAATGTAATCTAGAAATGTGGGGAGCTTTCATTAGTGGATAATTTGATAATAGTTGTTGCTGCTCTTTAAACTAGCAAGCAGATACAAAACCTTTGAACATAAGAACTTTAAAGCCTATGGTTAGTATTGATTTTTAGCAGCATTAGCCAGAATGGCAAGGCAGAAGTATATCTTTGGAATACCTGGAGAAGGTCCATTCTGCACAGAAAAATGAATATGAGAAATTATCCCACCTCTTTTTTCATTTTTATTAATCAGTAAATCCCTTTTATTGGCGAACCATCTTTGCCAACATTTTTTTCCTCCATTTTTTGGTTGTAATGATGTAAGACAACTAGAAATGTAACTAACCAAGAAATTCCTGACTTGTTCACTGTTCAGGTGTATACACAGTAGTACTTACTACATGTTAAATTATCTTAAGCTTTTCTTGCACTGTCTTGACACTCGGCATTATTGTGTGCTCATCATAGTATAAAATAAATTTTGCTGTGTTTTACTTATTAGAGTCAATACAAGTAGAACATAAAACATGGAGAAAATAGTAGGTGGGATGCCAGGTACATTGGGAACATATTTAATAATAATTTATGGCAGATGTTGGTTTTTTTGTTTGTTTAAAATTTGGGAGGAGACATGAACTGTAAATTTACTGATTATTCTTTAGCACTACTAAAAAAGTTGCCAACTGAAGGAAAAAAAACCCCAGATTAACATTATTTTCCTCAATCCAGGACATTTGCACCAGTTTGGGATGTTTTCAAAACCTCAACAGAAAAACTAGCAAGTTGTCACTTGGATCTTGTGCGGAGGTTACAAGAGCTAATAAAAGAAGTTCACAAGTATGGAGATGAACAGATCAAAGCTTATAAAAAGGTTGTTAATTCTTTTTGTTATGTATGTCCAATGACTTTTTAACACTAAAATTAAAATTGTTTGGTTTTGACAACCTTGTGATATTTGGCAGACTAAAGAAGATGTTTCAGGAACTTTGGAAGCAGTGCAAAATATTCAAAGTATCACTCAAGCCTTGCAGAAATCAAAAGAAAACTACAATGCAAAGTGTGTGGAACAAGAACGCTTGAAAAAGGAAGGAGCAACACAGAGAGAAATTGAAAAGGTAGCTCTGTCACATCTTACTTTATTTGTATTAATAGTTGTCTTGTATGTTCACCTTGTATTAGTAAGTGGAATGCCCAGAAAGAATTAAACAGTTAAAAGCTGTGAGTAATTTGCAATATACATATCATTAATACTGATATGTTTTATTTACACTTATTTCCTTGTCTGTTCTTATTGTACTGTAATTCTAATTCTTCACTTTGTTAATACCTGCATCAATGATAGTTTAGTGTAGTGGTTTTAACAGAAATTGTGCCCAATTGTTTCAGAATCTCATGTTTTTGAATACATTTCCTTAAGTGAATACTCAGTGCCCTTGTTACTGAACTCAGGAGTAATTGTGTTATCCCTGCAATGAGATAAAGTAGCTGAGTACATGAGTATTTGAAATCTCTTGAATAAAGAAAAAGATATCAACACTTTTACTGCTGTTTTAAGAGATTCCAATCTCATGAACCAGAGACTCAAGGGATGATCGTCTTGTGGTGTATTTAGTACTGTCCTTGGGTTATGGTGGAGGGGTTGATCCATTCACAGAATCAGTCAGCTTGTGGGGTTGACAGGGACCTCTGAAAGTTGCTCAAGCAGGGCCATCTCAAGCCAGTTACTCAAGACCTCATCAAGACAGCTTTTTAGTATCTTCAAGGATGGAGATTCCATGGACGCTCTGGGCAACTGGTGCCAGGGCTCCATCACCTTCACAGGAAACAGGTGCTTCCTGGTGTTCAGAGGGAGGGAACCTTTTGTGTTTTCTGTTAGTGCCCATTGTCTCTGGTTCTATCACTGGGCACAAAAGTGATTCTGTTGACTATGTTTCAATTGTTTTACTTTGTTACAAATCTACCTTTTTTCTGTCTCAAATGACAGTTCATGCTGGATTGTAGACATGAACCAGATGTGTGTTGGCAGATATTCTCCTGCCAGTGTATTCAAAGTATAATTTTTCTCAATTCTTGTAAGTAGAATTTCAGTAGGAAAGAGTGACTTGAGGGAAGGCTTTTTAAGATGTAGCATTATCTTTTTTCGTTTGGAAACAAGAAAATACTCAGCATGTCTGTATGAGAAGGGAGAAAAAGGAAGCACTATAGGAGGAGTGCAATTTTTTTTGTTTTATGCATCTTCCTTAGAAGATTCAATTATGTCATAATTGAATGCTTTGCAAGTACTTAAAATATATTTCCAGTGGGAACAAGTAACTGATACTGTCACATCTCTTCAGTCATGCCTCTATTCAAGTTTACACTTGCAATTTTGTAAACAGAGTCACCAAACTTTGTAATTATTTTTGCTTTGGTAGAAAATAGATTCGGTATTAGAATAGAAATAGTATTTCAGTGCAACATGAAAACCATTTACTGGCAAAATCACAGATTAACTTTTTTCTCAGCAAGAAAGGGATCTGTACCAGTGTACACAGTGTACAGAGTTTATCACAAAGCCAAATGTTTGGAGAGATACTTTATTGAAGAATCTAAGGAGGTATCTGAGGCCTTACAAGTCTCATTGCAGCTGAAAGTTAATACTAACTTGTGTAATAATTTCCTGTTGTTGTCTGACATGTAAACTTCTCTTTTTATAGTAACTTAATAAAAAATAGTTGACTGATCCTTATTCTTTCACATACTGTAAATCTGATCACATACTGTAAATCTGGTAAATACAGTTCTAGCAATTGCTCTACCTGGGAGTAGTCACATTCTATTTTCAGAAGAGATTACTAGTTAATCATACAGTGTCCATATGTTTTATAATTTTTCCTGTCCTGCTGAGTGCTTTGTTTTTTGATCACTTTTCATCATGTAATACTGGTATAAATAACAATAAACATGATGGGAGATGGAGAATGTTTTTGTTTTGTCAAAGTCCCTTGCACACAGGGTTCGATTAAAAATGCTTTACCAAAATGTAACCCATTTCTACACTTTTTAGCTTGACATTTTCTTCCATTTCAGTGATTAAATTTGGAATCAACTTCAAAGCAGTCTTAATTTTAAAATCAAGATTTCATGGAGCATGTTGTATTTTCAGCATAGTAAATGACAGTTGGGAAACATGATAAAACTGCGCTTCTCAGTGATTCTTCTGTTTAAATGTGTAAGAGTGAGAATCATAAAGTAAAATTCAGGATAATAAACTGATACATTTGATACAACTTTTCTGAATAATCCACATTCTTGTTACATTAAGTATTTTCACGCTATTATGCTGAGTTTAGAAGACTTTGTGACTAAGATCTGCTTAGGCCTTCTTTGTAGCTGGGCAAACAACTAGCTTTGGTTCCTATTTATTTGAAGTGCTAATATGTATCTGGTATATTGTAACTCATGATTATCTGGTTTTTTCTCTTGGAAATTGTGGAATCTGTCTCTCTCCCTCTTGCCAGAGGGCATCTATTAATTAATTGAAATTATAGATAGCAGTCAGCTTTACAAATCATTGTAAATAAAAAATAGTTTTTGTTAAACAGATTGAATTTATTTGAAAGTAGAAGTAGGGCTACTCAGCTAGAACAAATAGAGAATACACAATTCTCTTTACTGATGTCATTAACAATTCAGAAATACTTCTGTGTTACAACTGATGGGAAATTTCAGAGAGATAGTAAGCATGTTCAATAAAGAAGCTAGGAAAGAAAATTCAAGATGTGTTCAAGATGATTTTCAATCTATTTAACCTGGAAATAGATTATCAAAGGTTTGAAAGACTTCATCTCATGCATCATGCTGTAAACTTTGAAAATAACTTTTTCTCTACTACAATCAGTCTTAATTCAGTTTTGTTCTCCATGTAATACTGAGATTTTCCTGTATTTTGTTTTGTGTTTTACTTCACTCGCAGAAGGAAGATTTTGGTTTATTAGCAACAAATAAGGAAAAGTATAAATCTCTAAAGGCCTATTAATAATAACACTGACCTGCCTAAATCTGCCCTTCACTACATTTTGCATTAGCTTCACTTTCAAATATCTGCTAATCCATTGATGTAATTTGCATACTTTTGAGTTTCTTTCTTAATTTCTAAGACAACTTCTCCATCGCATTTTTTTTAGCATGGATTATTTCAATGCATTTATAACTATTTACTCTGTAGTCTAACCCTTCTTTTTTTCCTACTTTGTTGTTGCAAATATAAATTTGTTGTTCATATTTGACAAGATTTAATGATTTATCTTCTGCAATAAAAATGTATTTCAAAATTAGTTTTATTATAAATAGTTTTATAAAATTTTCATTGCTTATAAGGAGAAGGGATTTAATTAAGTTAATTTGTTACACTTGTATATGATTTATGTATAGTAAAATTGCTCTTACCTGAGATATTTGGTGTTGAAATTTTGTTATGATACTTCTCTGTTTTGGCATGCCCCTGGATAATTTTTAGAGATCATCCTAGACTTTCTTTTAATAATGACTTTAAAAGCTTGTATTTGTGACATTTTACACATTTTTGTATTGATCTGTAGGCAGCAGTTAAATCTAAAAAAGCAACAGATACTTACAAACTGTATGTGGAGAAGTATGCTGCATTTAAATCTGATTTTGAACTAAAAATGACAGAAACAGCACAGGTAAGTGTTGCATTCAATGAACCTTCAAATTACTTTTGAAGTCAGTTAATGTATTCTATTTAATTTCTGGAGCCATCTGAAACTGAGAATTTCAAAAACTCGTCCTTTTGGAAATTGATTTGTTTGAAGGGCAAACACTGGCCATGTATGTTGCAATAGCACTGTCCTTCAATGACACAGTGGTGTACTGGCACTCTAGAAGACATTTTGAAGAAATTTTTGGAAGAAAGCAAGAACTTTTGGAAGTATTGTATATGCATTGTGTTTATGTGGAAAATCCTCTGAATTGCTGGGCACCCTGAACTTACTCAATGGAATTTTAATATTGGGATCCATTGTGGCTTTTCATTATTATTCCATCAAAACACTGAAGTTCCAGTTTGTTAAAATATCTACCCAGGATTTACCTGAAGTTATGAAAAGCTGTTACAGCTGTTTGTTTCTGGGGATTTTTAAAAGACTATGTTCTGGAAGATTTCAGGTTCTCTGTATCAATGTATATGCCAGTTCTTGCTACATTTTAAACTACATTTGGCTAAATGTCCTTTGTTCCTAAACTGTAGCTATCCTTTTACTTAAAATTTAAATTTTCACTTAATGTTATAATGGACATTTGTAAACTTTCCACATGTGGCCATATTGGAAATGAAAATTGCCATTCTGCCAATTAAAGATATGTGTGTGGAATTCATTTGAAGTATAATGGTGTAGCTGCATCCACAGTTTGGTTGCACAATGGCTACTTTAAAGATGATGTGATAGGACAAATAATATCCATGAATATATGGATGCCCACTTCTGTGTGAAGCACACCCTCTCTTAATTCAGCATACATTTCACTTGAAAATATGCTGATAAGTTCTGAAAATTAAACAAGTGAGGGATGTGAGTATTTTCATTTATTTCAGTGCAAAATCAGTTGGTTTAGCTTCAATCTGTTTTGCAATGTCCAGTAAAAGAAATAAAATCTTGGGGTAGGCTACAGATTACGACAATATCTTCTGTAATTAAGAGGAAGGCTGCTGAAGAAAAACAAAATAATTTTCATCTCCTTGAGCAATGACTACAGAGGTATGTAAGTATGGCAGAAAACTGAGGGTCTAAGAAGGTAGAGATGTGTGTCTTGTATGTATGGAGTCACGTTTGTGTATTAGAGTTGCAGGAGGTACAAGATGGGGATCTTCACAGAGCCCTGTGCAAATTGGAAAGAGGATTAAGTGGTGCACCAAAGTTTGGACACACTTGAAAGGACAGTTACAGAAATAGGCAGAGAACTAGGAAAGAGCAGAAGTAAACAAAGATTTCAAGACTGTTATGGTTGACTGCTGGGGAGGATGAGAACATTTTTAGTTCTGATTTTTGGCCAGGAAGGGGCCATTGAAAACTTCGGAAGTGATTTTAAAATGACTGTCAACTGACAGCCTGTGTAAAAAGGAAGAAACTGTAAAAATTATGTATGACTTTAAAAATCAAACAAATAACTTTTGAAGAAGCAAAGAACATAGATTTAACTAGAGAGAAAGAGTGTGTATGTTTACACAAGTGTTCTAAAAAGGAAGTGCAAAACAGATCCAGAAATAAGATTTCTTGGTTTAGATGAAAAAACAAGACTCTTCAGTAATGGAGAAAAGAGAAAATTTGAACACCTTCTAAAAATATTTTCTTTCAGTAGAAATAGAACAGATGTTTTTTGAAGGGTTAGATGAAAGTTCAAAAAGTAAGTAAAAAAAGTTCAGTAATCATTCTGAAAGGATAGCTTTCTTTCTAAAGTGCATTATTTCATAACTTGCTGAATTCTGTGCCTTATTTTCTTAAATGTAATTATTATGCTTAAGATGTGGAGAAAAAAAGAGGCTTTTTTGTTCTTTTTTTCATTTTAGTGTATTTGATTATTGAAATTTAAGATTTAGTGTTTCAGGAAATATTTTCATTATGATTAATTGCTCATATTTTTTTGCAGAAATTTCAAGACATAGAAGAAATGCACCTTCTCCGTATGAAAGAGATTATACAGTCATTGTCAGATACCATAAAAGAAATTCATTTACAAATAGGAGAGGTATTTTTATACTATATTTGGATCATGCTTTATGTTTTTCCTTAACTATTAAATGAATTATTTATTACTTTGTGAAATTCATCATAATCTCAAATTTCCATGGCTTCCTGTTGTATTTTTAAGTTCAGAGTCACAAAATTTACAGATTAAGACTAGATAAATTTTGTCTTCACAGAAAACGAAGTATTTGGACAATTTGAAGAATTTGAAATTTGAAGAATTTTTTGTGTATTTCTAAATTCTGTTTCCTGGATATTAATTTAACGCTTATTTCACACAGAATTAGGCTACTACTTTTTAAATTGGAACTAGAAATTATATCACTCTGAGAAGTTTCCAAATATTTTATATTCTTGGATTTTATGAGCAAAAGATATTTAGGAACAGAAACTTCTCTATCTTTTTTTAGATGGAAGTTGGTTTAATTAATAATCTTTATAAACAGCCCTTAATTTTTTTATTCTTAAAATGTCACTTAGTTTGCTAACATTTTAGTATTGAGGTTTTCTGCTTTAATAAGTGATCATCACAAGGGTTATGCTGTTTATTTCTAAAGGATATACACATCATCCTTGTTGGAAAATCTTATTAACAACATGTTGTTAGACCAAAACAACATGTTGTTATATCAAAACTATTACAACAGTAATGCTTTTTACTCAAGCAGGTGGGAGTTGTGATAATACAGTAGTAACAGTTCACACCCTAAACTGACGCTGGGTGAAAAAACTGCTTGTCTTCCTGACACGATAGTGGGATATGTTGCTGACAAACTCAGAAAATTATGTATACACAAGTTGTTTAACATGGAAAAAATAGAAATAAAACCTAGAGCTGTAATTTCATTTTTTTGTCTGTATTGTACCCACACTTGCTAATGCTACAGCAAAGAACAGGGTTTCCTAGATAAAAAATATTTTGATATGTTGATTTCTCAAAGTCCTGTAATGTATTTTAGAGGGAAGATTTTTGAACCTTAACAAAACCTATTGAACCTATAACAAAAACTACTTTTTAAAGTTAATTGCATTCTTTTTTTTTTTTTTAAGGTGCATGAAGAGTTTATTAATAACATGACAAACACTACAGTTGAGAGTTTAATACAGAAATTTGCTGAGTCAAAAGGAACTGGCAAGGAAAGACCTGGTAAGAGATTAACAGAGCAGGAAATGTTAGTTTTAAAGCTGGAAATTTCCATTCCTAATGAAAGGTCAAACCCATATTTGTTAATGTGCTGTATTTTTAACCTGTGTTCAAGTTCTTAGTATTCATTAACTTTGATACTAAATGGGTAATAGAAATTGATAATGCAGATTTCATTATGTGCATGTATTATTTGTGTTCATAAAACTTGGTAGTTTGTATGTCTGTTCTACTAAACTATGCCGTTTCCTGAAACATCAGGGAAATTGGTCAAGAAGCTGTAGTTCCTTGTACAAAGTATATGTTGTCTGTTATGTGTTTCTTGTACAAACTGTGATTCTGCATAAATTGTATTTCAGAATTTTATTCAATATAAACATATTCAGAGCAGATGTCTATAAAGCTGCTTATTGAAGTATTGGAAGAGTTGTGTCAGTTTCTTCAGTTTACCAAATTATCATTTTAATAGATACGCAAGATCTATTTCTTTATAAAATGTATTTTAATATACAATAATGTGTATTGCTTCTTTAGTAAGAAGCAAATTGAATAGTGCTTTCTGAAGGTACTGCTGGTTGGGTGTGATAAGACTTTCCTGGACTGGCGTAAAAAGACGTTCTCACAGTACTGCCTATATCATATTACTTTAATATCGGCACGAATATTAAAGTCACTAGGTATCTAAATACCTAGTAAATTCCTAGTAAATAGGAATTAGTAGTATTTTCTTCAGGCCAGGGAGTCCTCACTAGCATCTCTGTCTTGTAGTAGAGGCACACAAAGATGTTTTCTTTCCCGAGCAAGAATGTACATACCAGAGTAGATAATGAAAATTTATAATAAATTGTTAAATATTATTAGGTGTCTTGCAATGTGTCTGTGAGGTGTTTTTAACATAACATTGTTTCATATTCTTTCTGTGATCCTCTAATGCTGATGTCCAAGTGGGATGAGGTAAGATTACATATGGAACGATTTTTGAAAGTTTCCTGTGTATTTATCAATTTTCAGTAAAGATCAGAAAAGAAAATATATAAACTTCAGGGTATCAAGGTCAGTTGGTCTGAAACAGGACAAAGATGTGAAAATTTGGTGTTCAGATGTCTTTGATTAGCTGTTGCCAAGATGTCATGGCTAGGGATCTCAATCTTACATTTAAGATTCTGACTGCCTGGGTTACAAAGACTCTTACTAATTTGTCCTAGAACATTGTGCACTTTAAGTCATCCATGCTATTAGTGTGGGTCTTGCCAGACAACACTGAAATTTTAGAAAAGTAATATTTCACTTTTTAATTTAATGGAAAAATTACGCACATTTTATACTTACTTGCTTCTTTATAATTCTTCAAATCCTATCTGCGCTCTCTGAGGCCAAATGAAAACTTCTTCAAGTGTATTCTAAGAAAGTTTAGCAAAATATTTTAAGGAATAGTAGCACATGTAGTGTGTAATGTATGGACCTTAAATTTTCTTAACAGTATTAAATTGTTGTATTGATATCAACTTTGTCAAGCAGTAATGGTGCAGGGAGAAAGCATAGTCAAATTCAGCAGCAAAAGTAGTTTGGAAGTGTTAAAGACTAGCAACAGACCACTAATGATGTTAATTATGCTTACTGCTTCTAAAATATTTATTTTTTAACTTAGAATCATAAAACTTTGTTAGTTAGAAAGGTTTGGAAGACAGAGTGAGGTATCAGCCTTCTAAGAATGAAAAGGAAACATCCACTGTTAAGGACCACTTTTTCTTGATTAAATCCCTGCTTTTTTGCTTCTGAGAATGGTTCACAATGAAAAGATATTTTAAATCATGGAGCAAATGTTGAAAGTCTATGGGATGTATTTATTAATTAGGCTGAAGAGGGAGATGGCTCCTCAGAAAAATATAAATATTCAACGTAAAAAATAATGCTGACTTGGCTTACAAAACAAATACAGAAAAACTGTCTTCTAGATGCCACTGTTGTTTGTGATATGTTTAAAGGCAATACTTTAAAATTCCCCAGGACTATGTAGGCCTTCTTTCATCCATTTTATTTGTGGGTTACTATGATCAGTGACATGGTGGGTACTTTCAGATAAAATAAATTAAAAAGGCAATGCATAACGTATTATTTTAACTTATTTCAGTATATTCTACCTATTTATAATTCTGCACATTAGAGTTCGCTTGCTTTTATTTATATCTGTAAAAATAAGAATGAATCTGAAATGAAGTACTGATGAAGGCTGTTTTATTATGGAGAACTGCAAACCATTTACAGTAAAGTTTATTGTGTATCTGAAATGTATTTTTACAGTCATGTCTGTTTTATCAGATTATATGGGCTCCCTCTGGTGGCTAGTTTCTATCACCTGGAGCTGTTATGTACAGGGGCATCTAGTACATGTACTTTTTCTTGTACAAGTAACAGCTTTTCTTTCAAACAGTAATGCTTTGAGAGAGGTTTTAAATTTACTCAGGAGCTTCTTTACAATGGCTCTTTTTGCACTGCTACCTAAAAAACTTACCTAGTCAGCTTTATAATGTGCTTCTCACTGAATTTGTTTTAATTTTTTCTCTATTAAATCAGTTTAGAATTTAGGGGCTTAAATAACACAACAGTTGTTGAAGAAATAATGATTTTTGTTTTCTGTCTTCCAATTAGTGTTAAAAAAACAAAACAAATGACTAAACCACTTACATCCAGTTGCAAATCTTTAATTTTACCTGAAAAGAAAGTCACTTAGTGTGAATCAGTGAAAAACAAAGCTGGCAGGACCAGTAAGGCTTCAGATCAGAATTTAACGTGTTGCCTGAACTGCCTCCAACATCTGGAGGAACCAGGATGAGGTCAAGGAATGGGCCTGTGGGAATCTCATGATTTGAAGGGCGAGGTGCTGCACCTGTGTCAGAGCAGCCCTGGATTTAGCCCAGGCTGGTGGATGGACAGATCACAGCAGCCCTGCCCAGAGGGGCTTGGGGGAGCCAAACGTGTCCTGGGCTGCATCCAGAGCAGCATGGGCAGCAGGGCCAGGGAGGGGATTCTGCCCCTCTGCTCTGCTCTGCTGAGAGCCCACCTGCAGGGCTGCATCAGCTCTGGGGTGCCAAAACAGGAAGGACATGGAGATGTTGGAGAGAGTCCTGAGGAGAGACACTAACTTTATTAATACACCTCTCCTATGAGGGCAGGCTGAGAGAGTTGACGCTATACAGCCTGGAGAACAGTATGCTCCAGGGAGAGCATACTGATGGTGGCCTTCCAGAATTTAAAATGGCCTTATAGGAAAGATGGTGACATGAAAATAGGGCCTGTAGTGATACGGCAAGGAGTACTATTTTTAAACTAGAAGAGAATAAATTCAGACTAGATATTAAGTAAGGTGTTTTTTATGATGAGGGTGGTGAAACACTGAAACAGGCTTCCTAAAGAAGTGGTAATTTTCCCATCCATGAAGCCATTCATGGTTGTGTTTGACTGGACTCGGAGCAACCTGATGTTGTCAAAGATATCTCTGATCATTGCAGGGAGGTTGGACTAGATGAGCTTTAAAGGTCCCTTCCAACCCAAACCATTCTAGGATTCTATGAAACATTCCTGGTGTTAGGTTTAATAGAAGATTTTATACCATCAGTTGGAAGATGCTTTAGTCAAATAATCCAGCAATGTTCATCAAAATTTGCCCACTTCTGATTGATTAGTTTCCTATTTGCTGTAGCCTGTTGCTTCATATTCCTTGGAAAATTAATTTATTGTATAGCGGAAAATATCTGCTTTTCTTCCAGAGTATATTTAAATCAATAATGGAAGTGATATCAGTGTAATCTTATTCCAGATTAATGAGATATCAATGAGCTCTAGCTCTAGATACTGAATCTTCTATTAATCTATTAAAAAATGGGTTTGTTCCAGTGTGCGATGTTGGTGCACAAGACATAGAAGGTGCTAGGAAGTTTAAGCTCATGTTCTTTTTAGATTTTATATCTGAAATTGTCAGGTTAATATCAAATGTCTTTTAAGAGGTTAGTGAATGCCATATATCTGTTGTTGAAAAGGAGTAATTTTTAATTTTAGTTACTGAATTACTATGTCCTCTTCTCATATGTGGGGAACTAATGTGTGTGTTTGTTCCTGTATTAGTTTTTGTCCACTACATGTTTCACCCAGAAGTCTCCATCCAGCCTGGCCTTGAACACTTTCAGAGATGCCTCTCTGAGCAACCCATTCCAACATCCCCACAGTAAAGAATTTCATTCTCGTATTTATCTAAACCTGTCCTCCTGCATGTTAAGGTCATTCCCTCCTTCCTACATGCCATTGTGAAAAGGCCCTCTCCAACTTCTCTTGTAGGCCCACTGTAAGTACTGGAAGGTGCTCTAAATTCTCCCTGGAACCTTCTCTTCTTCAGGCTGAACAGCCCCAGCTCTCTCAGCTTTTCCTTACAGGACAGGTGCTCCAGACCCTCTGATCAATGTAGCAGCCCTCCTCTGGAGTCAATTCAGCAGGGTAACATCTTGTGCTGGGGAACCCAGAGCTGGATGGAGGTGGGGTGTCACCTGAGTGGATCAGAGGGACAGAATCTCCTCTTGTCAACTGCCCACACTGCTTTGGATGCAGTTCAGGATACAATTGGGGTTTTGGGCTGTGAGTGCCCATGTCTGGGTCACAGTAAGCTGCTTATCCACAAACATCAACACATCTTTCTTTTGGAAGGTTACTCTCAACCCATTCTCTGCCCAGCCTGTATTTGTGCTTGGGATTGTCCTGACCCAGAATCCTGCAGCTGGTCTTTTTGAATTTCCAGAGGTTTTTACAGGCCCATCTCTTGGGCCTGTTCTAGGTCCATCTGGATGGCATTCCTTCTCTCTGGTGTGTCCACCATGCCACACAGTTTGGTATCATTGTCAGACTTCCTTGAGGGTGCTCCCAGCTGTCCATATCACTGACAGAGATGTTAAACAATACCAGTCTCAGCACTATCCCCTGAGAAACACCACATGTCACTGTATTCCACTTGGACA